TTCGGTTACAGTGAGAGGAAGGAGAGAAAATGAAGCAGAGGAAGTGAGAAATAAGAGAATGAAGATAAGGTCTCAGTTACGGTTAGAGGATTGGGGACGGTGGGTGAATATATAACACCCCAACCCTTTTCTTTTATTATTATTATTATTATTATTATTTTAATTTATTTTTTGTAATTATTATATAAATATAATAATTTATTATGTAATAATAAATAGTTTTAATTTAATTTAATTTATTTAAATAGAAATAATAATAATAATAATAATAATAAGGGGTAAAATTATTTAGGGATTTAATTGAAAATAATTTTGGGAAAAAATAGTGAAATTTTGGGTTATGAGGGTATTTTTGAAAATAAAATTGAAAACCGGGAGGTCAAAACGTAATTTAGAAAAATTGTACCATATCAGCAGCCCCGGCCAACCAGGAGACACCGTGTGGCAGAGACACTAACGCGGGAGGCCACGCGAAAGGGAGCCACGTGGGCGATCTGCGTGTGCGCGATCGAACGGCTGAGATCCGTTCCCGCGCGCACGGACGGCCCAGATTGCACGCACACGGATGACCTAGATTGAATCGTGCACGGACGGCCCAGATTGCATCGCGATGAACAGTCCATATTCATTTCCTATTTAATCGCGATCGGACGGCCCATATTGAATCGCGATGGACGGCTCAGATTAAAAGCAGATGGTTATAAATAATTTCATCCGCACCAAAACCCTAACGCTAGCCGCCAGAGCCCCTCACCGGAGAAAACAGCCCAGCAACCGGAGAACTGACCGCCGCCACCAGCTGCTGCACCGGAGCAATTTCTGGCTGCCAAACGAGGTAAAAATTCTCCCATTGGCTCAGAATTCGATGCTGAACCCACCTACAGCCAAATCGAAGAAAAAACACCAGCCAATTGGCCGAAAAATGCCCCCGAAGCCCAGCGGCGCCGCCTCGGATTTTCTCAATTTTTGCCTCTGATGAAGCCCTTCTCGATTCCCGTTCGATATAATTTTTTCACCATTGTGACCACCGTTCCCTCCTCTACAGGTTGACCGGAGTAAAACACCAAATCGCGACGCGAGCCGGAGGAGCTGCCGCACCAGAGAGCCTAGCCGCCGGTAGGTTTCGGTTTTTGAGTTTTGTTTTGCCCACCAAGGGCCCTAGGGGTGTTTTCTTACAGGAACCAATGCAAGTTTGGCTAAATTTGGCCGAAAACGGCCAGAAACAACTAACCCAAGACGGATCACCGCCGCGAGTCGCCGGAGCACGGCAAAGCCGCCATGCTGGAATTTTGAAATTGGTCAAGTAGGCTCTGGGTCTGATTTTTGAGTTATTAGATATATGTGTAGGTACCATAAGCGCGTTTCAGTTCCCAGAGAAAAAATTCAGGGAATCAAGGGACTGCCCGTAAGCACAGTGAAATCCAGTTTTTGGACGTCGAATCGGGTAGAGGACCCCTCATCCTATGTTTCTATCACGGGGATTAAAGTCTAATAGATGATAAAACTGTATTTGTGGTATGAATTAAGTAGATGTGC